AGTGTAAAATCCCATCAAGAGGTTCTTCTCATCACCAAACACTGTGATGTAGTAACTCAAATATATGTTTCCAAGTATCAGTAGCTGCCAGTTGTCTTATAAAAACTATGAGCACAACATTTGATATGTTTAGAATATGTCCGAAACATGAGAAGTAGGCCTAGGCCACCAATGTCTTTTTCTTAGGCAGATTTTACTAGATCTCAAGTAATCTTTATGAGAACCTATCCAAGACATACCATGTGAACCTTTATAAGCCCTGTCTCTTACTTGACCCAATCAAATAGTATAATCACCATCAAATTCAGTAGAGAAAGCCTTGCATTATCGCTATATATATGTTATTGGGTTTACAAGCCACACAAGTCATTCTTTCTTACATTGAATCAGCAGAAGTCAAGCTCATTGCATTTTTTAGTCTTCTGAGATCATTCTGTAGTTCTTTGTGCGCAGAAGCAAAAACTATGAGTTTTCGCTTACTTGGAAGGCGAATATCATTTACTAGCCAAGCAGCTTGCAAGGTAGTGGAAGTTCCAAAAGGCTATATTGCAGTCTATGTTGGAGAGAAGATGAAGAGGTTCATGATTCCCTATCATTCTTGAACCAGCCTTTATTTCAAGAATTGTTAAAACAATCTGAAGACGAGTTTGGCTACGATCATCCAATGGGAGGTCTCACAATTCCCTGCAAGGAAGATGCATTCTTAGATCTAGCTTCTAGCTTGAACGAGCAATAGTTCATAACTCCATATCATACTGCAGAAGAGTAACTTAGAGTAGTTGAGAAAAACGTTGTACAGAAGGCATTCCTTTTTTCGTTTTGATGTTGTAGAAAGTGTATGACATCTCAATGATAATCTCCTAAACAGTTCAAGTGAATTTATAATATTCTTTTCTTCTTGAGAACAAATTTATACTGTTCTTTATTTCTTATCCATCTAAATGAATTGAAACAGATCATTGCTGTTTTTCCCTTTTTGGGTGAAACAAAAATTGGTTCAAGGATTCAAAAGCAAAGTAGACAGCAAATAAACCGATTTAATTTGCTGCAATCTCCAAATAATTCTGTTTCCATTAAGAGTCATACAGAAAAATATGATATTTTATTTTTGTTTGTAATGATGCCGAATGTAACATTCATGTAATTCCTTATTGATCCTATATCATTTTTACTTAATCTTCTTTCCTCTGAAAATGAGTTTAATTTGATTGTTATTCCTTTTCATTTTCGGTTTAGTGCACCCTCTTTGAGCTTGAATTCTGTAATGAATTTGATCGAATCAATAAGGATGACAAAACTCTCCGCAACGAATTTCAATATAGTTGCCATCCGAGACCACTAGTTAGAATAATCCCGTGTCAACTTTTAGCATATTAATGATATTGTTATTCCTTATGCAAAATTAGCACGTTGATTAAAAAACTTATCATAAATTTTAAAAATTTATAAAAAAAATGAGACATCTCTTACTGGATTTTATGATATGAATTCAAATATATCATTCAATTAACACATGAGACACGTAGCTATGGTGCTTTTCATTAAGTGAATCAATCTAACCACTAGGTTGAAAGTTCTTATCAAATAGATCAATTTTATAAAATTTTATAAAAAAATAAAATTAATAAATATTTTATCACATTATTCTATTTTAATAGCTGATTATTTTTAAAATATAAGAAAATATCAAATTCAGAGAATATATCGACAAATGTCTAAATTGTATTAAATTTAATTTATATTATCATAAAAATAATATAAGATGATTCAATGGTTGAATTTCTCATAAAATATTTCTGTGTTATCCATGGTTTAATAATTATTTACCTTATAAAAATGTCTTGAATATAAAATATAGAAAATCAAATGACAATAAGTCGTATTTAAAGTTATTCATAATAATAATTTTCAGACCATATGTAATCTTAATCCAACGGCCTATGTTTTATATTCATATAGATTTATTATCAAAATAAAAATTTCATGTAATGATAAAACAAAAAATGGGTGAAAAAATAATGCAAATGGATAAGAAAAATAGATAGCAAAAACTATGAAAATGAACCAAAGAGTAGCAAGAAAGAAAAGTTTAACGATTCATACAAATGGGCAGAAAGGTCATTAAAAGCATGCAAATAAAAAGAAAAATGGGAGGGAAAATCATTCAATTGGGCAGGAAAAAGAATATGTGAATGAACATAAAAATGAGCCAAAATGATGTAAATGAGTAAAAGAAGTTGGTGGAGAAAATAATTCAAATGAAGTGAGAAAACACAAATAGGCAGGAAAAACAAAGAAAAGGGGCAAGAAAATTTTATTTAAATGGGAGGAAAATTCGGAAGAAAAATAGTTTAAATAGATAAGAAAAATACGAGAAAAAAATTCTACAGATGGACAAAAAATATGGGCGAGAAAATAGTTGATGGGATGAACCCGTGGCTAATTAAATATAATGCAGAGGTTATGTTATAATAATGTCTTAGGTTTCACATTTTTACCGTAATAAAACTGTTTTTTTGTTCACTATTTTTTCACCCCATTTGTTGACGAATGTCAAGATGAAGTGAAAATGAAGAGAAAAAAGATATACCAGATCGCACCTTACAACAATGTATCAATCTCTAATTAAATTATACGTTGCATTGTACTTTCCGTACTCTTCACAAGGACGAGGGTTGCAAGTTGTTATGACAAAGAATTCCAATGATTTTGACTAGAGACATTTTTGTGCATCCATTTAATTGAATTGAATCTCCAAGCAGACACAGCTAATAATGTGCAGATAATTATTAACAATTGAAGTAATTTCTTTTAGCTGTCATACCACCATTGCAACTATGCATAATTTATTATGACTAATCCACGAAGTGACCAAGAATTATGTGTGAGAAAGTGATGAGATGTCTCCAGCACTTCTTGAACAATAGAAGCAAGGCATTACATTGGCTACACAATAATTAGTTTCCTTACTGCACAAATCTCTTTCATCCTCAAGCAATAACTGTGTTGGTCACTCTTCTATATGTACAAATATCATTTACACTAAATTCTTTAGTAAGTATTGATAGAGACCTATAAGACAATACCACATGGTTCATGAATCATGAGCCCTTGTCTCTCACTAGATCAAATCAAATAGCCCATTAACCATTCAATTTTGCAATGAAGGTTATCCACACAAGCACCATATGCACTCATCATTCCACTCTTAGCTATGTCCTAAAGCATTAGACTAGAAATATTTGTTTGTCATTCAAGTTCTTTGAGATCATTCTATAGTTGTGTGTGTGCAGAGTAACAAACAAGAAAGAGAAATCATGGATTTTCGTTTACTTTGTGTTAGAAAATCATGCAGTGTATGTTGGTGAAAAAATGATGTGGTTTGTAATTCCGATTGGATACTTGAGCCAACCTTCATTTCAGAACTTGCTAAGCAAAGCAGAAGAACATGGGTACCATCATCCCATGGGTGGCCTTACAATTCCTTGCACAGAAGATGTTTTCTGAAATACCATGTCAATTATCTATTGAATAGTTTTTGACCAAAGACACTGACATAGAATAGTATTTAGATCAAACAAGCAATTTGTAAACATTTTCTCGCTCTGCTTTCATGCACACATGGAAAATGTAAGGGAAAACGTTATTAATTTCATTGATTAATTAATGTAAGATCTTCCGTTGAGTATTTACTATTTAAATATATGAAAACTCGCTTTGTTAGAGGAATTGTTGTTGGATACTCCCTTGCCACTTTAGTACTTCACCAATTTGCCATTTTTACTGTTGCAACACTTGTAGCTGTTAACGCTTGCACTATGTCACCTATTTTTCTCCCATTAGTCTTGTTTTTTCATGGCATGGTCCAATTCTTTTAAAGGACTCTCACAGTCACAGCCTAAGGGTCTAACCTTGAATTACATCCTCTTTCCTCTGGAATATTCCCATTCAAATTTAGAGGCTCAAGTTCCTTCCTTTTCTATGGGTTCACATAGGTTCAGTTTAACTTTTGCTTTACCAAAAGTCTTCTGTTGTCATTTTATACCAACGTTTTCTAAAGTATACATGTAAGGCTAAAAGGTGTGAGATATTTAATTATTAAATCAAATAATTGAAGTTCACTAACTTGTTTGACTATAAAAGAACTTTTGTTTCTAATCATTAATTATTATGGCATATAAGTCCAAGCTGAGAGCAGCTCTGCTTATTTAATCAGTAAGTTTTGTTGATTTAATGGCAAAAAAGTAAAAAGTAAAAAGTAAAAAATGCACAGAAATGTGAGGAGAATGAATGGAGAACAAACTCAACTTTATTCAATATTAACAATACATTTATAATAACTTAAATAAACAGAAACTAATTATGCAACCAAAGAATTGATAACAAATTTGGATAGAAAACTAAATTATTCCTAAAATGTAGGAACTACTCATTGACTATAATATTGATCTAATAAACTGAAATAACTAAAAAAAACCTAGAGCAGTTTTAAAAGCATATTGTTAACAAGTGATCTAAATAATGTGAATTTATGCTGAATTTAGTTCAAAATATTAGATAATTGATTTATTAAATCATTGGTCAGTGCTCTATCCAATTATGACTAGTCTTCCATTGCAGTTCAGGTTTTCAGAGTCCAGCCACAAAGTAGATAACATGCGCAACAAAAATCCCAAGCTCCATATGTATTGGATTGAAAGATTACCCCTTTTGTATCATTATGCAATTTTTGTTCAACAGTAAGAGCAGAACAGCAAAGGAAGTGAAAAAATGAAGAGAATATGCAAAACAGTGGTTGTCCATATATACAAATTTTCACCAGAAAAATTGCATATATAAATTCATTTAAATTTGACCCAAAAAATAAAAATTCAATATCTCTGTTAATAACTCTCACTTGGATGTAATTTTCCACTTACAAAAGAAGGTTAAAAAGAAAAATAAAAGTTCCTTCTGTACATTTGCCTCAACTAATCTATGTCAGTCTCTTTCCGTAAGATCTATAGCACATTCAAACGAGAAGTGAGGTCTAAGAAAGTTTCTTCAATGCAAGGAATTGTGAGACCTCCCATCGGATGATCATATCCAAATTCTTCTTCAACTTGGCTTAGTAATTCTTGAAATAAAGGTTGATTCAAATATGAAATAGGAATAACAAACCGCTTCATTTTCTCCCCAACATAGACTGCAAGATAGCCTTTAGGTACTTCCACAGCCTTGGAAGCTGCTTTGGTTAAAGATGCCCTTCTAATACCAGGTAAGTGGAAGCCCATTGTTTTGAGTTGCAACACACCAAGAAAAATAAAACGAAAGCAAGGGCTTGTGTTAGAAAGAAATATTTGAATTCTTGTTTCGTGAGTGACTTGTGTTTCTCAAAAATGTCATGTTGAGTATTTATAGATAGATAAAAGTCTCTGTCTTTAAGGAATTGAATGGTTGGTGGGCTAGGGATGCTGATGGGGTCCAGTGGGAGACAAGGGCCAATGAGATGTTGCATGGTACTTTCTTCATGGTGTTGACGAAGGATTACATGAGATTTGGCAATTCATGCCAACTTGGTTGCCCCTTCAGAAAAGACTTTACAGCCAATGACCTAATAATTGCATACCAAATACACTGGCTTTCTTAAGTTCCAGTCTGGCTCAAAACATATCACACAGGTTTTTCATATGGATAAACTGCCAGTTCTTGGAATAGACCACGAAGTGTAGCTGATAGATATTAAAAATATCAAATTAGAGGCAAGGGAACACCACATTTTGTGACAAGTTCCTATGTTGTTAACTAGTATTATTAGTAATTGCAAGACACGATGCATGGTCCTTCACTTGAGCTAACCGCTTCCCTTGTAATTGAAACAGTAAAAATTTGTCTACTGTTGTTGTGGAGTGATTAAATTTGGATAGTCTGTGCAAGACAACATTTAACCGAGCCTCACAAAAAAATACCATACTTAAATTTGGAGCTTTGCTGAGACTAAATGAATTTCCAGTTGATAGAACCAAGCCAGAGTTTGTGAGCTTTCTTATGGTGTTACTACAAAGTACTTGAATAACAAGGCAATTTATAAAGAGATTTGTCAAGTATGGAAATACCTTATTAGGCTAATAAGTACATAAATTTTTATTTCTGAAAGAACTTAGATCATTTTTTTTTTCAATTTTCCACTTTGACTACCAAACTACTTCGAATGATTAATCTGAAATTGTAGTTAACCTTCAATACGAGTAGCATTGAAATCTGAAATAGCCCTGATTATTGAATTTTGAAAAAATTGAGGCATATCTAAAACTTCAGCATGTGTACACCTTGATGACGAGTTTATTGTTATTGTGGAGCTGCCTATATAGAGAAGGCACTTAATGTATGATAAGGCCCATGTATCCCCATCATTTTAATTTCGTATGTACTTTGTTACTGCTTGCAAAATTTTCAGAACAACTAAGTCTACCTTTTCTTACAGCAAGAAGCCTTGCTCATACATCATAAGTTCCTGATTGCAGAGACAAATTAGGAACAATTGAACATTGTAATTACTTAATAGACAGCAAACACATAGGATTCACTTGAGGAGTTGAATTCACTTTTATGATGCAAAAAAGAAGGACATAGTCTGAATGTGTCATTCTGATCATCTATTCTAATCTATTGTACAAAATGTATGTACTAATCTATGTCAGTTTTCTACTGTGTGAGATTTATAACTCCTTCAAGCTAGATGTTATATGTTGGAAACAATCTTCGCTGCAAGGAATTGTGAGACCACCCATGGGATGATCATATTCAAATTCTTCCTCAGCTTGACTCAACAAGTCTTGGAATGAAGGTTGGTTCAAGTATGATATGGGGATCACGAACCGCTTCACGTTCTCTCCAACATACACTGCAAGATAGCCCTTTGGTACTTCTACAGATTTTGAAGCTATTTGGTTTGCAGCAAAAGATGCCTTTCTGACACCCAGTAAACGAAAACCCATTGTTATATGTGTTGAAAAGTGATTGATCCAAAAAGACAAGTATATATAAGATGCAAGTGTTTGAATTTCATATACCTCTGGATGTGAATGATTTGTATTGGTCCTAAATGCCTGAAGCCATGAATATATATAGATAAAAGGATATGTAACCGCCTGTTGGCTACATGAATGATTAGTGGAGAAGGGCTATAAGTGTCAAAGGACCTAATGCGTCTAGGACCCAAGGGCAAACAATAGGTCACATGGTGTTGTCTTAGAGAGCTTTCTGAAGAATCAACGTCTTGACATACTTATTTTGGAGGGAGCCATAAACTTAATGTATTCAAATTTCATGGGGTGTTGGCATGCTCCTTAGAATTTGTTGTACATAAAAAATGTGGCTCTCTTCTTGCCTCCAAACAGTGTTTCAAAGTTATCAATCAGGTCTGCATGTGGTTTACAGGTTGCATACACCCTGATATTAGTAGGTACTTTGTAGATATAAATAAATATCATTGTCAATCCTATCTAAAGAACCATGTGAGATGTCTAAAGCATGTCTGTTATTGGAGTAGTGATAGCACAATAAATGAACAAGCATTAGATTTAACCTATTCTGACATCTTCAATTTCATGTGGGCAAATCTTTTGGTCATCATCTAAGAAGGTGGGGTATGCACTCCAACTTAACTTCCTAATCCTAACAGATATCTTTAAGACAATACCATGAAATCAGTTATCTCTCAGTTGACCCCATCTCAAAAATCATAAATGGTGTAATTTGATTGCAGATGTTCTTAAAAGCTATATATACACCAATTCTTGGGTTCTCAGGCAACACAAGTCATATACCTCTTTCTTGTACAAGTCCTTTGAGATCAATATATTTTGTGTGAAGCAACAGAAAATAATGGGTTTCGGCATACCAGGTATTAGACAGTCATCATTTTCTACAACCCAGGAAAAGTTCAAGGGAGTTGAAGTACCAAAAGGCTACCTTGCAGTGTATGTTGGAGATAAAATGAGGCGGTTTGTGATTCCAATATAATACTTGAGCCTACCTTCATTTCAAGAACTACTAAGTCAAGCAGAAGAAGAATTTGGATATGATCACCCAACAGGTGGTCTCACAATTCCATGCAGAGAGGATGAGTTCCTAAGCCTCACTTCTCGCTTGAATGGGCTGTAAGCCTGTGACATTCTAACGAAGACTGAGATAAACCATATATTAGCAGAGGAAAATATTGTATAGACGGCACATCACTTCATTTTTTAGACTTTTCATTTTAGTTTCTTCCTTGTATCATCTCTTTGTAAATGGAAAAATGTTATCAGAAAGTGAAAGTTATGACAAGACTTTGTAAAAACATTTATAACTTTTGCCAAATCTTAAATTTTGGTTGATATATATCAGGCTATAAGCATTTAATAGGGATTAACTTTAGCTAATTTTTCGTTAGATTCTTTCATATATGTGACTCGTTTAGTTCCTTCTTTCAGCACCGCAAAGTAATTTATCTTCAGTTAATTTAGTTCTCCTTTACATTCTATCAACGCTGGAAAATCATCATTATTTTCCAAGGGTCATCTATTCTTCTATATTTCCCAAACAAGTAGAACAACCGCGGGCATTATTAGTTTTTTCTTAGGCAGAAATACATGGATTATTATCTCTACTGTATTGCATCAAATTCTCAACAGCAGAAGATATTGCAAATTTTGGTAGAAGGAAAATAAGAATTTCAATCTACACAGAGTCAAGGATTAGCAAACCGTTGTTCTATTATTTGTGGCCTATACTTTGTTCCTTTCAAATTTATTTTTGTTTATTTAATTTAAATTGAGAACTAGGATCCATGATATTAAAATAAGCAGCTCCCAAGCCCAATTGTATAAAATTTTTGGGATGATAATTTAGAATCTAAACATTAGTTAACTGTCATAATTATTAAAGTCTTAGATATATTGTTAGCTTTAAGGAAACTTTTTTTGTTTTTCGTGTGTATGGGTAAACTTTAAACCTAAGCTTCTTGCAATGTAAGGTCTAGCTTCATTTCATATAAAAGACTAAAGTCTTAGAAATTTTTTGGTTCTTTGACTTCTGCACATGTAGAATTATAGACAAACCATATCATATATCAATGGGATAAGAAAAAGCTTTGGCTATAGAAATAGGCCTGTGTAAACCTTGAGTGCAAGTCCTTTCTTATTATGCACCTGCCTTGGCAGGGAAGGTAAGTAAAGTTTTATTGAGGCATTGCCACCTCAAAATTTATTTATATGTAGATTGTGTGAATTTATTAATGAAATATATTTTAACATTGTCCCAAATAAATTTCTCTTTATCTTTGGAACATACTTTTGCTTTGCCCTATCTAGAAATGATGTGTTCTTTCTCTGCTTTTTCAAATTTATCAGAACAAGCAAGTCTGGTCTTTCTTACAGCAAGCAACCTTGTTCATACAGGTAGAAGTGAACATTGTAGCAAATAAACAGAAAACATAGAAGAGCCACCTGTATAGTTGAATTCATTGTCATTGCACAAAATAGAAAAGACATGCTCTGTGAATTTGTCATTCTAATGGTCCTTTTATCCCTATCTCTCAAGAAAAGGAGACCTTTACAAGTTGAGAAGATGCCTATGGTACAAAATGTCTATACCTATATATCTATGTCAGTCTCCTAGAATGTGAGATTTATAGCTCATTGAATCTATAAATTACATGTTGGAAGACATCTTCACTGCAAGGAATTGTAATACCACCCTTGGGATGATCATATCCAAACTCTTCCTCAGCTTGACTTAACAAGTCAAGGAAAGAAGGTTGGTATAAGTATGATATGGGAATCACAAACCGCTTCATTCTCTCTCCAACATACACTGCAAGATATCCCTTTGGTGTGTCAACTGCTTTTGAAGATGCTTGATTAGCAGAAAGTGAAGCCCTTCTGATACCAGGTAAACGAAAACCCATTGTTGTATTGTATGTGTTGATACTTGAGGAAGATAACAGTCTAAAAAAACTTGAAATTGGACGTTTGTGAACTTTGAATGCTTTAGGATGTGAATGATTTCTGTTGGTTCAAAATGCTTGTGGTCATTAATATATATAGAAAGATATGCAAGAAACCATTGGCTACTTAAATTATTGGTGGAGGACTACGAGATAGGTGTCATGGGACCAACTGAGAGAGAAGAGCATATGATGATGTCTAAGAGGACTTTCCCAAGAATCAACTTAACCTGTTATAATAGTTAAGATAAAACTATCCTGGCTTTTGGACTGAAAGCCAACAGATCTCCCCACTAGAAATGAAACAGATGTATCTATGAAAAAGAAAATCTAATTGGATCATGTTGACAAGTATTAAGGAAGGTGGGGATGCAAACTTAACGTGTGCAAATTTCATGCAGTCTTGGTTTGAATTTGACATGGGTAAAAATGTGGTTCAGTGACTCATGATCATGTATTCAATATTGGTTTTCTTTTTACTAACACTGTTTTAGAGCTACCAATCTGGTCTGCTTAAGGTTTACTGGTTGCTTTCTGTGTCACGGATATCAGTTAATACATGGTAGTTATATATCAATAGAATTGTCATCTTATTTAAAGAAACATGTGATATGTCTAAAGCTTGTCCACCGTTGGATTAGCTATAGCACAATGCATCAACAAACATCAAGTTCTAAAGTTGGTAGCTTGTTGGCCATTATCTCAGAAGGTGGGGTATGCACACCCATTTAACTTCCTAATCCTCTAGTGTGATCTCAAAAAAATATCACGTGATCCTTTGTCTCTCAATACCCCATCAAAATTCATTCATTGTGGAATTACATTGCAGAGGTCCCTGGCAACTATACATGCACTACTTCATGGATTGTCAAGCAGCACAAGTGATTTGCGTCCTGAAGCATCAGAATTCAAATATTTCTTTCCAACACAAGTACTTTGACAACAGTATATTCTCAATAGATTGATTTGTGTGAATTGTGTCGCAACATAAAAAATGGGTTTCCGCGTAGCAAGTATAATTAAACGGGCATCATTCTCTGTATCCCAAGCAGCCTCCAAGGAGGTTGAAGTACCAAAAGGCTATCTTGCAGTCTATGTTGTAGATAAAATGAGGCGGTTTCTGATTCCAGTATCATATTTGAACCAACCTTCATTTCAAGATTTACTAAGTCAAGCAGAAGAAGAATTTGGATATGATCACCCAACAGGTGGTCTCACAATTCCATGTAAAAGCTTTAAGCCTATGCTTCTTCAATTAAAAGGTCATAGCTTCATTTGATCTAGAAAACAAAATTCATAGAAAAACATCAGTTCAAACAATCCATAGGTCAATGATATGAGAGAGAGCTTCTGCTATTGAAGTAGGCCAATGTTATTCAAGGGTAAATTTTAACCTTGATGTTAACTCTATTATTATTGCACCCCATCCATGGCAGGGAAGGTACACCTCATGTGTGACTGGGGCATGGGCTCCCAAAATTTATGCATATTGTATACATTTATTAATAAAAAAATTTTAATTTTGTGCCAAACAAATTAATCTTACTGCATGGTCCTAGTAAAAACCTTTTACTCTTCCCATGCTAGGAATGACGTGTCCTATTCATGTCCTAAAATTTATCAGAACAAAGTCTGGTTTTCTTATAGCAAGTCATACGGGATGAATTGAATAATAACAATGTAACTGATAAACAGAAAACAAAGAGGAGCAGCTTGAGTAGTTGAATTCATTGTCATTAAACAAAGGAAAAAAGAACAAATTTCTCATTACAATGGTCTTTCTTTTTTTCCTATATTCCTAGAAATGGAGATCTTCACAAGTTGAGAAGATGCCTATTGTACAAAATTGTCTCTACAACTCTATGTCAACTGCTACAGTGTGAGATTTATAGTCCTTCTAGGTGAGAAGTTATCTGTTGGAAGACATCTTCGCAGCAAGGAATTGTGAGGCCACCCGTGGGGTGATAATACCCAAACTCTTCCTCAACTTGACTCAACACGTCTTGGAATGAAGGTTGGTTCAAGTATGATATGGGAATCACAAACCGCTTCATTCTCTCTCCAACGTACACAGCAAGATAGCCTTTTGGCACCTCCACAACTTTGGAAGATGCTTGGTTAGCAGCAGATGATGCCTTTCTGATACCAGGTAAACGAAAACCCATTATTGTATTGGATGTGCTGACACTTGAGAAGATAATGATCTAAAAGACTTGAAAGTGCAGGTTTATGAATTTCAAATGCTTCTGAATTATTTGTGTTGGTCTTAAAATGCTTGCAACCATGAATATATATCGATAGAAGAATATGTAAAAGAAACTGTTGGCTCGTTGAATTATTGGTGAAGGAGGGAAATGAGATAGGAGTCACGAGACCAAGAGACAAGTGCATATGGCATTGTCTTGAAGGAGTTTCTCAAGAATCAACGTAACATGTTAGGGTAGATAAGATAGTACAAGTCTCACATTCTGGAGTGAGAGCCAACAAATTACATCATCTGAAATAAAACAGATGTATACGTGAAAAAAAGAGCAATTGGATCTTGTTGACACTTATTTGGGGTAGCGGGATCCACAAACTTCATTTGTGCAAGTTCACATGGTGTTGCCTAAAATTTGACGTACACAAGAAAATGTGGTTCACAGTGCCTCTATGTGTTCATTGTTCAACGTCAGTTATCTTCTTACGTCCAATTCCAATAGCGTCTGTTCAGGTTGCTTACTCTCACTATGATATTAGTTTGTACATGATATATATAGCAATAGCTTTGTTATTTATCTAAACAAACATGTGAGGTGTCGAAAGCTTGTTTGAAGTAGCTATATCTCAGTGAATGTATTTAATTTAAGGTGAGTAAATCTATCGGCCTCCGAGTGTTTGGAGTCCCATTTAACTTCCTAATATTTGAAAGAGAACTCTTGAGACAATATCATGTGATCTCTTGTCTCTCAGTGGACCCCATCAAAACTCATTCATTGTGGAATTGGATCAAGAGGCCCTTAACAACTATATATACACTATTTCTTGGGTTCTAAAACGTCATAAGTCACTGCATTCCCGAAGTATTTCTTTATCGTACAGTCCTTTGACATCAGTATATTATTTGTTGTGTAGAGCAACAAAGAAAACAATGGGTTTCCGCATAACAAGTATTATTAGACGCGCATCTAGCAGTCTATGTTGGAGATAAAATGAGGCCGTTTGTGATTCCAGTATCATATTTGAACCAACCTTCATTTCAAGAATTACTAAGTCAAGCTGAAGAAGAATTTGAATATGATCATCCCACAGGTGGTCTCACAATTCCATGCAAGGAGGATGAGTTCCTAAACCTCGTTTCCTACTTGAATAAACTGTAAATCATGCTGTAATGAGACTTAGAGTGATCAGTTGAGCCAAATTTGTACAAAAAGGAACTTTCTTTTACAGTAAAGATTTTTTATTTTGCTTTCTTCCTTGTATAATCCAACTGAAGTTGGAAAATTTTACCTGAATGAGAATGATAAATTAACAAGGCAATTGCAAACTTTTTTGTTTTCGCCAAATCTAAACGAATTCTTTTTTTTTTATAAGCACAAAAGTTGCATTAATTAAGTACTAGGAGTGCTTAGCTTAGCCCATATTTACAAGTACTAAGCACCATATAATAAGTTTCACAGATCAATTCAAAACAAACAATCTCTCCTAGACATAACCTTATGTGCAATAAGAAGGAAAATATGCTCTGAAGTAATAATCCATGTCATCATGCAGGAAAGAGCAATTTCATAGTAAGAATGGGTTCAGAGCACTAAGCAAGGAATGAGAAACAGACTGTTTTAGCATGAACTACAAGAGCTTGCTATGTCTTCAATTTAATCATCTCTAGCACTTTCAAGGCATACAATTCACAATTAGAAAAAATAATTCCGTTCCTATACTTCCAAATACACCACAATGTCAAGCTTCAAATAACCAAAGTGACTTTTCACCGTTTTTTTTCCGGTAGCAGCTCAGAAAAACTAATAGCGTTCTGTACTAAGGAAGGATATTAGCATAACGAACGGTTCAACCAAGTTGCAATACCCTCCTAAATAGATTTTGCAAAACTACAATCTATGAATAAATGTACAGTATTTTCTACCTCTCTTTTACAAAAAACACATCTATCATTCTTCAAAATATTATTTAGTCCTCTTCTAATAAGATTAGCATTAGGGGGAAAAGAGTCATGGATCAACTGCCATATAAAGACTCGAACTTGATGAGGAACCTAACAACGCCATACCTTGTTCAAAATTTGAATGCTTAAAACAATGAAGTTTGGTCCTACATCCACGTTGCTTTGTATAGTACAATACCTAGATTTCGTAGAAAAATCTTTAATCTTATCACTCATCCAAATCCATCTATTCAAAGTGCTTTGGTATGGCCGATAATCCTACAAAATAATAAAAAGATTAGTAGCAACCTCCTCCTCCCATGGTCAAAGTTCCCTCCTCCACCAAATCCTCCATACCCATCTATCCTCCAACCAAAAACCATTATCCAACACCACACTCTCCTTATTTAGTGTCAAAGCAAACAATCTTGGAACGAGAGACTTAAAACAATCCATATCAAGCCACACCTCACTCCAAAAGCTTATATTCAATCCATCTCATAATACTTTAGGACTTGTCAATGAAATATTTGGTGTAGCAAACAAGGGATTGTGTTGTGCTTTTAGAATGTCTAACCACAAGCACTTTTGATTCTCCAACACTCTCCAATTCTATTTTCCTAATAAAGTCCAATTCACCCTCTCAATATGTTTCACTCTAAGCCCCCCCCCCCCCTCCTCTTTACATTTACACACTTCCTCCCACCTCACCCAAGGTATTTTTTTGTATCCTTCACCTCTCTCCATAGAAAGTTCCTTTGGATATGAATAAACTTCAATACTACTTTCCTTGCCATTTTATAAGAGGAGATGTAGTGGACTGGGATGCTATTGAGCACCGCATTCAACAACGTTACTCTTCTCCCATTGACATGAATCTACTCTTTCAACTTTTCAATCTCCCTCTTAACGCCTCAATCAGTTTTTTCCAAGTACCCATGCACCTTGGATTGGCCCCCACATGGATTCCCAAAAATCTAAATGGAAATGTATCAACTTTGCAATGAAGGAAATTGGAAGCTTGAAGAAGAAAATCTTGATCAACATTTATACCAATCAACTTACTCTTGTAGAAATTAATCTTCACATAAATTTTTCAAGTTGCTTCTTCCACAATTATTGTGTCATCTGCAAATTGTAAGTGCGAGACAATTGGGCCACTGTTGACTCATAATCCTGAAAACACACCTTTAACAATCGCCTTTCTCATAAGCTCCCCTAACCCCTCTATAGCCACCACGAAGAGAAAGGGGATCCTTTTGGACCTTTTCAACCTTTGCTCATAAGCCACATTATTTTAAAAAATTTAATAATGTAATTGATTTCAAGGCAATATTTGTTTTTATTTATTTATTAAAAACTTGCCAAAAAATAATTAAAGAAAGGGTCCATTTAAGCAAGAAATAAAAGGATTGTGATGTTATCAAATAAAATAATTTATATTGACAAAACAGTCTTTTATATAATATAACAGTTATTGCAACCACAACGAAATTCGCCAGTAGTTGACAATTATAGTTATATATTTATAACTTTGATTCTGATTTCATTTTAAAGTAGAAAATATAATAAAATTATTGGAGTAAAATATTTTTTAAAAAAAATAGTGATGAGTCACTGACTCATGTAGTAAATTGTATACTTATGACACTTTTTATTGAATAAATAATCTAAGTTAGTGTAATTAATTGAAAATCTTAATAGAAAGATGTTATTACTTGGAATGCAATAGATTGTTCAATTATTAATATTTTGTCGTTAGTTTTTGAAGGGTTCAAAAGAGAAATTGCAATTGGATCCAAAAAAAAGAAGTTGAATTACTGTATGACAAAACATATAAAAATAGAATTTTCTATAAAAGGCAACATCTTTTATTACACATAGAATTTTAGATTTTTTGTATATCTTCACGCAAGGATGTCTTTCATTCCATTTCTCCTTTTCTTTTATATGGGATTTCGATGGGAAGTAGGGTTATACCCCTCCATTCCCTTTGCTCTTTAATGGAACAGTAATTTCCTACTATTTATATTTCATGTAATTTCCTTTCAGCTGAACATGAAGTTTATTTCAGTTCTGTCTCTTTTATTTCTTCAATGTCTTGCTGATTTCATTTGGATTAAGGATGGGTGAACTTGATTCTTAACACATTGGGATAAGCTAAATGTGAGCTATAACTCAGTTTATTTTTTTTTTAACTTATTTAATCCTAAACTTAATGCTTCTTTGTTTCTTAGTATTCAAAGTTGATAAAGAGAATTTTCTTATTAGAAAATTTGAATCATTCTTGAAAATGGATTAAGTAGCTCATTATGGGTTACCTAGAAATAGGAATCTTTAACGATGTTGTCACTTTAATTTCTAAACTTAATGTTGATCTGCTCAAATTAGGAACTAAGATTTGATTTAGAACCATTTGATCAAGGAATTGACATTGGGTACTATAAAGATTTGACCATTAGAATAGTTGTATTTTAAGTTATACATACTTTTTACAATGAAAAAGAATTAAGGAATCCTAACTCAATCCACTTCTATATTAGTTGTTAACTTGTTTGCTAAGTATATATCTAAAATTTATTTGTCATTCTATTTTAGTTTCTTACGCTTAGTTTTCTTCTCACATTAAAGTAATTCAACAAAGTTTAAGTCACTTTTAATTGTTGCATAATATTGAATTTTCTGCATTGAACTTTTAAATTGTTTATCATCCAATTATCGATATTCTTGTAGTTTAGTAATTAACATTAATCTTAATGAACAATAAAATTTGATTGTTAATACAAACGATTTGATACGCTTGCCAATTTGTTTATCAAATAGTTAGAATTCTTATACTTTTATTCTTGTCAATATGTTTTTCCTATTTTAAATATATTTGCAAAAATTAGAAATTAATTTATTTGTAATTAATATAAATATTAAATGAAAGAATTTAATTTATCAAGCAGTTAATTAACTTACGTGATTTTGTGATTGAATCAATTAATTTAAGTTAGGAAATTAACGATTAAGTACCACAATATAAATCAAATTAACATAATCGATTTCAGAAATTTTATTAAAAAATGTCATAAAATAAAATAATTTGAGTA